AGCAAAAATGAAAGTGTATAAAACAGGTGTACTTGCTGTTAACGCTGTTAAACTGAATGTAAGAAGCAAACTGTGATCCAGTGATGCAAACTATTCAATTTTCAGTTTCAGTTTGAAAGTAGGGCTGTCATTTACGTGATTCATGTAGTTCATGATTGAATGTGACGAGACAATAAAATTTTTTCTGTTTTGTCAGAGTCGACGCCAGCCCATACAACCTGGGCGAGACAAATATTATTTGCTGTTCTGATAAATTACTTTACAAATCTTTTACTCTTCTACCATTCTCAAAAAAGGGTTTTAAGACAGTTATTTCTAATATTTCCTACTAACACACTACAGCAAAAGATAGAAATAACTGGCTTTAAACCATTTTTGTTGATGAAAATACTAATGACCTAGACTTCTGCACAGTATATATATATATATATATATATATATATATACAGTTATGTGAAAAAATTAGGACACCCTATTGAATTCCAAGGTTTTCTGTAGGACATAATAAAAAATTATCTGGTCCTTGGCAGGTCTTAAAATTTGGAAAATAAACCCTCATCTGATGAACAACAACACATGACATATCACACAGTGTCATTATTTATTTAACAAAAATAAAGCCAAAATGGAAAGCCATGTGTGACAAAGTTAAGACACCCTATGATTCAATTGCTTGTAGATACACTTTTAGCAGTAATAACTTGAAGTAGCCTAATCATTTTCTGTATGACTTTATCAGTCTCTCACATCATTCTGGAGGAATTTTGGCCCACTCTTCTTTACACCATTGTTCAAGTTTATGCACAGCTCTCGCCACAGCATTTCAGTCAGGATGAGGTCTGGACTTTGACTGGGCTAAACATAATGTATCATACATAATGCTAAACATAACATGCATCATAATGGAGTGCATTCATATAAACAGCACAGGGGATGTGGTTACATAGGCTATTTATTATGATATCACTCAATGCCAAGGGTGTTACCTCTAAATATTAACTTTTACGTCTTGATTAGACTTTACTTGAGGAAAATGTGCAGAGCTTTACAAATGTTTGCTACAATTAATATTCATAAGTAGCAATGACCCAGACCTCCACACGCTAGGCGGCGCTCACAGCGGGCGCTCATCCAGGCACGAGACACGCTGTCAGCTGCGCCTCACACGCGACGCGAGCAATGACGTGGACTTTCATCCATTGCGGTGCGAAATCAGTGAAGTCACTGCATACAACTACTCCTCTGCATTGGGTCGGGACTATTTTTACCATTTGTAACGAGGTAATAACTTTCATTCATTACAATTACACATACTATCTGAAAACGCTGCTGTTTGAAGTTAACTTTAACAATGAGAACTCTCTTACTTTGTCTAAACTATCTACGTTAGCTGTCAAAACTTGCTTTAATTTTAATGCGTTGATGGCTTTGATTGCTGACCGTAGGTATTTCTATTTAGTGTCCAGTGAGGAGCAGGACATCAACATGATTAAAGGCAAAGTTGAAAACATTAAAGACAAAATTGATGGCAATGCATTTTAATGCGTTGATGGCTTTGATTGCTGACCGTAGGTATTTCTATTCAGTGTCCAGTGAGGAGCAGGACATCAACATGATTAAAGGCAAAGTTGAAAACATTAAAGACAAAATTGATGGCAATGAGCTTGATTTGAGTCTCCGTAATCTTACAGAAGTGCCAGTCAAGGAGCTGGTAAGTGATTATTAAGATTATTCACTTGACAATTATCATGTGTGTAGTGTACTTGGTTTTGTTTAAATTGTATTAATTCAGCCTATCCTTAGGCAAAGTGTGAGAAACGTTGAAAATTGAAAACATTGATTTCTGTTCAGGCTGCATTTCCAAAGGCAACGGTTTTGGATCTGTCCTGTAATAATCTAACAACTCTGGCTGTAAGTAACAACTGTAAATAAAAAAAAAAAAACTTTTTCAACCAGATTTGCTCTAAGTTGTAGTTTGTTTAATGTTTTTGTACTGTTTTTGTTACTTCACCAGCCTGAATTCTGCAGCTTGACTCACCTTATAAAAATTGACCTGAGCAAGAACCAGCTGGTCTGCTTACCAGAAGAAATTGGGCAACTCGGTAACCTCCAGCACCTGGATTTATACAACAACAAACTGAAAATGCTTCCCGTTGGCTTCTCACAACTCAAGGTGGGTTTAAGATCTCATAACTGCAAACTTTATCTTTAATATTAGAAGATGCTATTTTCATTTTGAGGCAGTCGTGACCTAATGGTTAGAGAGTCGGACTTGTAACCCAAAGTTCGTGGGTTTGAGTCTCGGTACCAGCAGGGATTGTAGGTGGTGGGAGTGAATGACCAGCGCTCTCTTCCACCTTCAATACTGAGGTGAGACCCTTGAGCAAGGGTGTGTGTTCACAGTGTGTGCGTGTGTGTTTGTTCACTACCCACTGTTCTGTGTGTGCACTTGGATGAGTGAAATGCAGAGCACAAATTCTGAGTATGGGACACCGTACTTGGCTACACATCATGTCACTTTCACTTTCACTGTATAAACCATAATCTCTAGCTTCTGCTAACTGTCGTGAGGACGTTCACAAGAGAGTGACGTTCCAGCAGATAACGTATGACGTAGGCATAGCATAAGCTCATACTTATCAGTATTAGTAGCAGTTGGTAATTGAGGGCATTTGTTTGTTGCAGAGTCTTAAATGGCTGGATCTGAAGGATAACCCCTTGGAGCCAACACTGGCCAAGGCTGCAGGAGATTGCTTGGATGAGAAGCAGTGCAAACAGTGCGCATCCAGGGTGAGTTGAGTGGTCTGAAGCAGAAGTGTCAGAGATTACTTATAAATAAGATTATTTAGTCAAAGTTTTGAAACAATCACAAATGAACAAATTAACTTACATAACAAATTAATTACTATGTCCAGGTTCTGCAGCACATGAAGGCACTACAGGAAGAAGCAGAAAAGGAACGAGAACGTCGATTGTTGAAAGAGAGAGGTAGGGAAACCAAAACATCAACTTTCCCCAAGTTTTTCATATTAATATTCTTTTTCCATTACAAATGATATTATGAGTTACAAGTTGAGCATAACATTAAGTTTAGAATTTAGGACTTGAAATTCTGATTTATTTTTGTCTTACTTTTTTATGAGTGACCTAGACATAGTATAGTATTGAAATATTTATTCCACAATCTACATCATAACAGTTCTTTGATTTTAATTGTTTTTCAAAATGTTTAGATTTTTTTTCATTTTATGTATTCGTGTATTAATTAAGCATTGATTTTAGAATATGTTTTAATCCCTTACAGAACTAGAAAAGAAAAAAGAAGCTAAGCAGAGGGAAAAGGAGGCCAGGGAAAGAGAAGCAAACAAAAAGAAAAAAGCAGAAGAGAAGGAAAGGAAAAGAAAGGAGTATCAAGCTCAGATGGCTGCTCTTGCTGCACAAGAACAACAGAAAAAGAAGAAAGAAGAGAAGAAAAAGAGAGCTGCTCAAAAACAAGGTACAATTTTATCTTACATTAACTGAGACTCAATTATTTCATTACACTGCATACTCTCTACTTGGCTTTATGTTGTTTAAAAATGTTGGAGTATTTTGATGTACACTACTGTCAAAAGTTTGGAATTAAATTGAAAAAAAAAATGTTTTTGATGTCTTTTATGCTTACCAAGGATGTTAAGAAATTCTGTAATATTGTGAAATATTATTACAATTTAAAATAATGGTTTTCTATTTTAATATATTTTAAAACTTAATTTATTCCTGTGATGGCAAAGCTGAATGTAGCTATTACTCCAGTCTTCAGTGTCACGTGAACCTGCAGAGATCATTTTAATATGATGATTTGGTGCTCAAGAAACATTTCTTATCGGTGTTTAAAACATATATTTTTTTAAGGATTCTATGATGAACAGAAGTTCAAAAAAAGATCAGCACTTATTTTAATTTTTTGTAACATTATACATGTCTTTACTGTCACTTTTGATCAATTTAATACATCCTTTCTGAACAAAAGTACTAATTTATTTTTTAAGAAATCATACTGACCCCAAACTTTTGAACTGTAGTGTATGTCAGGTTGATATGTTATATACATTGTATTACTGTATATATGTACAGTACATGTTATATGTACAGCGTGTTTCTTGTAAATGTTTTGAGTGTAAGTTCTACACTTCCTTCACTATAGGTAAAAAGACAGCATCAGAGTCTGTGCCCAAAGCCAAGCGGTCCATCTGCTCTCTGTTCTTCTCTCTGCTCCTAAAACTCCTGCTCCTGCTAATTGTGGGAGTAGCAAGCGTAATAGCAGTTTGTCAGTTGACTGAACTGAGGAAGGAGGCGTTCTGTGTTCCACTCAACGCGCACTTTGAGGAGACGGTGAGGTGGGCTCAGGATCTGGAGGTTGTGCAGCAGGTCATTCAGAAAATGTCTGATCTCAGAACATAAGACTGTGTCTGATAATGATCCATCCTGCCGCGGACCTGAGCCTCTCAGGTGACGCATTGGGACCAAGTCACAGACCTGTCTGCAGAAATTCCTATGGAATCGTTTTTTCTTTCTTTTTTTTTTAAATAATAATAATCCATGTGAGAACTATGGACCAGTCTGTGAATGAAAATCTTGCTTGTATGTCTTTAAACTGCCAAATCGGGAAAGGAAAATGGACTTCAAGAAGCAGTTGATTAATGATAACATTTGTGACCTTTGGAGTCTTGCATAATACTGTTTCACAACATCTTATAATAAAAGATTTGATCGATTTTGATTAGCTTATGTTTGCTGTCCCTGTGCTACAATTGGTAGCAAAACTGAATCTTAAAGAAACCTGTATAAGTTTCTACAATAACTGCTCTCTGTTTAGGTAAGTTTTACCTAGAATTGGAAAAACTGCTTATATTCTTTTAGCTTACCAGGACATTAAACTATTCCTTTTTAAAGAAACATATCATTGTGATCATAAGACAATTATAATTTTTTATTGTTAGCATCAATGGACAACAAACTTTTCAAGACTGTATTTTTTATTGTTATTGTTGCAAGGACGATAAATGCCATAAATCTACTACAACACAAATAACCGACATGAAAGACAAACTGATTAGTATCTTGTGTATAGTCACAAAGATTTACAATATTACAAGCAACAAAAATATAACAAATATAATTTATATCCGTTTTCTTTACATAAATTATTGCAACATGCAGTATGCAGATTAAAAGTTTGTAATAGTAGTTTCTTGATTTCCATGCCTTAAGTTAAAATCACAATACAATAAAATAATATTTCTAACAATACAGTATTGAATGATCAGTATTGAGTCATCACATTTAATTCTGAATTAGAAAAACTCAGAAAGATTTTGTCACATCAGAACATGATAAATGCTTCTAGTTACCTCAGCTTTCTGTGGCACAATGAGTGATTAATATTTCATATTGAGATGCACTGTGGGGCTTTTCTCTTTTCATATGATCTTCTACAAACCATTATCACAGAGATAATGGTGTGAACGGTGCCTGCCTGCTGTCACGTGCCTTCCCGTACTCCCTCTGCAGCATGAAGTCCATGTTTCCAAAAACATGCTTCTGTAAAGCCTCATTCACGGTGACCCCAAGAGTAACCTCTTGAAAGACCTCACTGATGGAGAGCTGCAAACAAACAAACAAGCAAAAAAAGTATATACATTATATATTTCCAAATAAAAATGAATTTTTTTTTTACAATCACAAAAATGTTAGAAAGGTACAAACCCTTAAAATAACTATAATATACAAATTTTTGGATGTTTTTGAAAGAATTCTCTTATGCCCATCAAGTCTACATTTTTTTTTAATCAAAATTCAGTAAAAACAGTTTGCTATTTGAATGTATTTTTAAATGTAATTTATTCCTGTGATGGCAAAGCTAAATGTTCCGCAGCTGTTACTTCAGTGTCACATAATCCTTCAGAAATCATTTTTAATATATCACGGTTTACATTGATAATAACTCTGATGATGTGAATGAAATGTTTCTTGAGCAAATCAGCTTATTAGGATTTCTGAAGGACCATGTGACTGGAGTTACGGCTGCTTTACTATCACAGGAATAAATTACATTTTTTTAAATATAAAAAATAAAAAACTCATCTAAAAAATGTAGTAATATTAATATTATGTAATTTGTAATCATATAAAAATCTTAATTATTCTACATTTTTGGTAACGTGTCAGAATTCAGCAAAAAGTATTAACATTAACATTTGTACTTGCGAATTAAAACAATTCCGGAATGAATTAATTTTATTCATTCTCACCTCTCGGAAGTGGAATTTCTTGAACATGGCAATGCTGATTTTGTTATCCAAACCAATCTTGACTTCAAACTTTTGAATTCCAAGTTTATGGACACCTGTTGAGGTAAATCACACAAAAAAAACACTGTACATATAAGTAGTCACTACTAATAATAGATCTTTAATCATCAGCTTTGTCCTACCATAGTACATCATCATGCGTGTTACTTCTTTCCCAAGTCCCTTTCCTCTGTAGCAGGGCACTAAAAAAATGATTTGATGTTACTGACAGGCTCAAGCCAATCTGAATGAAATAAAATGCGCTGCAACATCTGTAACCTGCAATCATGATCTCCAATTCAGCCAGGGAAGGATCGCTGGGGTCAGTGAGGAAAATGTTAACATCTCCCACCATGCACTCTTGCTCCGGTATACTCGGATCTGCCCATTTCTGTTTATCCAAGATGATGAAGGTGCACTCTGAGGGAGAAAAACACATGATGAATAAATTCAGAAACAGATCAGGGATAATATTGACTATGTGCTTGAATGTCAACAGGACAAATGTTCATGTGAAAGGTGGAAACTCACTGTCATCATCTTCTCTCCAGCATCTTTGCATGTCATATTCCTGCTCCAGTGTCAGGGGCTCTGATGCAGTCAGCTTCTGCAGTTCAGGAGAGCACATCCATTGATGATACCTAAAAACATAGCGGTTAGACGAGGTTCAAATGAACTGGGACTACAACCACCAGACCCAAGATGACATGCTGGATTTACTTATAATACCTGGGAACATGATCTGCATTGTAAGGTACTAATACAACCTTCTCCCCCTCCAGTAATATATCTTCATTTATCCTCATTTTAAGCAGCCTGTAAAATAAAGTGTTTTAAGGCACATACTTAATGTTCTAATTAGCAGTGTAGCATTTTTGTCACCATCGTACCTCAGATTCAAACTTGAATACAGAATGGTCGCTTAAATTATGTCCATCTGTTTTATTTACGTATATAATCAACGTGTCATAAATAGACTAAACAGATAAATCACAATAGTACGAATTTCAATGAATTCAACTCACATAAACAGCGGCGCATATGAACTATGTCATCAGCACGCGTAGAAACCTGCGCGCGTTTGTATTGTGAAACGCGAGAGGGCGCAAGGTTACAGGTTTTCGTTTAAAGACTTCATTCACAACTGCGCTGTGTAATTGATTAAACATATTTCATAAATAATTTTTAGTTTTAAAATAATTGTAGCATTTAAAAAAATGCCCACCCACAAAGTATAAATGAAAGTCAATGGACAGATTATTCATGTGCACGTTCTCTTAACAATGGTAAACATTTAAAAAAGTGTTTCCCCTGTGTACTCGATATCACTTTTTCATCTTTGCAATATAACAAAATGCAATTCCTAATGACATAATCGTTTAGGAAGTGACATCAACGTTTTGGAGGGAAGCAACATGGAAAACAACAGCAGCAGTAAGTAGCTATTACATTTACATTTAGTAATTTAGCAGACGCTTTTATCTATCCAAAGCCACTTACAAATGCAGTGGATTGAATACATTCTGTGCTATTTTGTGCATTTCGCCGTTTTTCTCACCTTTTCAAAACATCCCATCCTGAGAAAATCTCAGAAATAGGATGATAACAGGCTATCAAAATTGTAAAAGATTTTAAAAGAAATTCAGCAACACTGCATATAAATTATGCATCTATATTACAAACATAAAACTAAAGTGAACAAATGTGATTGGTGCATTTAATATTTATTATTGCAGTTCAAATAAAAGATGTATGTCTATTAGGGATATGCCGGTATCAAATTCTCATGTTGCGATTAATTGCTAATGCTTTTATCACGGTATTCGGTATTATCACGATATTTGGATTTAGTTTAAAAAAAAGTGCTGTCATAATACAGTATAACAGGTTTAATAACTTTTTTTCTTATAACAAAAATAACTGAACATTTAAATGCAATAAAGCAATACAGAAAAATGTATAAATTTAAAAGTTTTACACAGATTAAAGTGCAAAAGAACCCTTTACAATAAGACCTCATTAGTTAACCTTAGTTAATGCATTAACATTCACAATGAGCAATAGCTACATTTGCTACAGAAGTTATTAATCTTTGTTAAAAAATACAAGTCTTAGTTCACGTTAGCTCATTAAATAAC